TTGTGTACAATTAGATTTTAGCATGATAAAAAAGACAACAAATTAGTATTAAATCTGTTTACTTTGTCTCTGACAACATGTACTGTAAACTTGGAAATCATGTCATCAATAATTGATGTTTGCATGTTATTTTTTGGGTATGTGTGCACGTCATTGCCACAAAATATAATTTACTCTACATTTCTAACAGGTGAAAGTAGTTGTTTCATTCTCATCTCATTGCAATGCTTGTGGGAATACTTAAATATTGGAGTGTATGATTAATCGACAATGAAAAATTTTTGGGAAATGCAGCAAGGAATCATATTGGTTCCTCAACTCAAATATAGTTGAATCAGTCATTTTAGTGAGATCATATTGCACATTTTAGTATCCAGTGTTCATGCCAGAACTGATGTTTCAGTTCAGATTGTTAACCCTTGTGCGTCAATTTAAAAAAATGTTACACAGAGGTCCTTAGAAGACAAAAATGTCCATGTTAAAAACGGTCATAAAAATAGATATGAATATTTTTTTCCGCTTTCCTTGATATACATGTTTTTACCAGCATCCGTCCTGATCATAACTACCAAAAAATGCAATCATTTTTAGGATTTTAACCCTTTAAATGCTAGTTTGTTTACATAATGCCACTGTTTTTTTATGAAAAATAGTAATTATTTTCCATGTACTAAGCACTAAAACTAAAATCATTTTTAAAATGTTTTCATCACTTGAAATAAAATAAACCTTAACTCAAATGAAATAACATTCTCACACACAAATTTTTCAGTACACACATAAGAACCACACTATAAATATGAAAAATAGTAAAATAAAAAAATTTAAACGTAGTAAAAATGTTGAAGAATGAGAGCCTATTAACAAAGAATCCATAATTTTATGCTTAATGGCACTGGGATTAAATATAGCTGTTTTAATGGGTTTCAGTGGGGACATTTTTGTCCTTAAGGTCCTGAGTGTAACAAATTTTTATACCTAGAGTAAAATAGAATCCCAATAAAAAATACCCATTTTTGACAAAATTTATGCCGTTTACATTAACAGCCAAAATGATCAAAATAACAAAAATGAAAAGGACACACAAGGGTTAAAGAGTGTGTGTGTGTGTGTGTGTGTGTACACACGGGTGTTTCAGTAACAGGCCAAACCCACAGAAAGTATTTATGACATGAAGGAAAAACGTTTTGTTTTACAAATTAGTGGCAACTACCTGATGAGTAGGGACAAGGGATTTTAAAGCTATGTTTGCAGCTGTGGTCTGTGTATCTCATATCTTCATATTGTAACTGTCCTATTTTTGTATTTTTATATGTTTCTTTACACTATTACGAATGACATAATGCTGTTATCATATTATACATGTCTGTAATGTTTCCTTCTCTTTCTGACTGTGGATGTTGTCGTATTATTGACATGTTCATGTGAAAGTGTCAGTCGCTTTATACGATAAAGCTGGACTGTGTGTGTGTGTGTTTGGTGTGCATGCAATCTTTGATTTGCCACACATCTTTTTGTATGTACGTATGTGTTTTTTTTTATTTGAATCTACATTAATTTGCCGTGTTTCCAAACTACAAATGCTAGTAGTGATGGATGTACAATCTGCCAATATCAGAATCAACACTCCCGCTGTGATAGTACCTGCAGTTTACATCCTCACACATGTATGTGGATGCACACATATGCAGTAGTCCAACATGCAGTATTACTGACAGAACAGATTCACATCAACCTCACAGTTTTGCACACCTCATAATCAGTGTTGAAAATGTCATTTGATCAATTTGCTCAGCTCTTTGGTCTTTGTCTTTTACATTTTAGTGGTATAAGTAGTTGTCGTTTTTTTAATTTTTACATTTTGTTTATACTTTATTTTTTTAATGGTGAAAGCTGGTAACCATTACATTAAGATGTGTGTGAATGTTTGAAGATGTTCAGTTCGACCTTTGAGGAGATGTAGCAGGAGCTGTCTAACACCTGTTTGACTTAGAATGGACCGATTTTGGTTTAAAAAATACTGTTTCTGCACAATAAAAGGCATCATCAGTGATATGAGCTGTGTGAAGAGTTTTCAGAATATAAACCCATCTTATATTGCTGATTCAAAGGAGAGTTTAACATTTATCATGCAGTTGTACAAAAAGAAGCTCTCAAGTTTATCATGAATGTGACATTTAAACTTGGAAGAAAAAAAATCTGGGAAAATCTTTAGCAAATAATGTCTTAAATTTTGAGCAGTTCCTTGCACAAAGCAATTATACCGTTTCAGAAAACATGAGTCGTAACTACTTTTGGAGATAATTCAATCTTTTTGGAGCTTCACAGTCATAGTCACTACTTTCATTGTAAAAAAAAAACAAACTGTACTTTCCATTAAAATAAAGTCATACAGGTTTTGAGCAACATGAGAGAGAGGATGATGTTGAATTTTCATTTTTGCATGAACTA